GTTCAATATGCTCGGATTAGCATTTAAAATGAAAATCTCTCTTATCGTAGGGAAATGGAAACACACACGCTGAAATAATAGTAAATGTTTAAATAAACGGAACTGCAAATACTATTTAACCGCGTCGCGTATCAATATTTATTTTCAAAATAAGAATAACGTATTTGTCGGTGCAGGCCGTAGGCAATTTGTACTGTAACATAATATTTAGGCGTACACACACGCCTGCGCACGCACAAAGTAGCAAACCAGCGCCAATTTGCAATTTAATTACATGATTTATTTATGTACCATTAATTATTAATGAATTTATAACGTTCCTTAAATATATCGGTTTGTACGCAAATTTATAACACATTCAGTACACGAGCGCCAATTTCACTTATTATCACTTCGGGATCGATGTTGAAACACAATTCAATTAGCTTATATAGCAAACAAGCGGCTTCTAGAGAATTCTCGAATCAGTATATCATATTGTATGGAAAAAATACGTTACTCTCATCGCCTTTGTGTCGTTCTAGAAAATTCGCTACAGTTCTATTAAAAATATCTATGTTAATTCATCTGCGTCCAGGAGGCGACATAGTTCCTTTATCGTGATTGCAATTTGAGAATCACGGATTCCTAAAAACAAAACCAACTTAACCTAATTTCTGGTGCTGCTGCTTTAAAGGTTGACTTTAGAAGGGAAAATTCATTTTTAAAGGGTATGTTGCCGGATTATCCTCGAATCGTTGTTAAAGCAGAATTTTATGCCATAAGACAAACGCCGTCGATAATGAACAAATTTCGATTTTCCAATCGTATCTCATTCGAATTTATTTGCGATGAAATATTTTCTTTTCTTTTTAAAAAAACAACGTAATATATTTCATGAAATTCGAATGTTTACTCGCACAGCGATCATAAAGTTTATACATTTCGTTAGGCGAGTGATGCGCAAACAACAAAATGACGCATTGAAAAACAGTGGTCGTTGAGGGCGAACACCGAAATTCTCGAACAATAATTTGCATTTTACGCATCTCTATGCCAAATGCGGGGTTGCATTTAAAGCGAGCCTTTGGAAGGATTTGCACTTCAAAATTATTAACGACCTCGTGGCATTAAGGGAACGAGAATGAGTTTTTGCAATTTATTTTATTTAAATTAAGGGCGGTAGTGGTGAATAAAATAAACTAGCGTAGAGGCACACTTCAACGGTTTAGGAATGCTTGATAATGCGGTCGTTTGGCAAAGGGTCTTAATTATTCGTGTAAGCAAAAAATTAAAGTCTCGTTAACGTTGGGAGAGCAATAGAAAAGTGGCCTCTTATCACACGCTTCCGTGAAAATGTTTGTATCGAGTGTGAAGCTACTATTTTAAGCAAAAAAACAAATCGTGCTATACGCGCGTCTTTAACAGAAAATATTTTATGAATTGCAAATAAAAGGAATAAGCTCTATCCCGGAAAATTTGCTATGAACATCGAACTGTATCGCCGGCGTATATTTTTATCGGGTTGAAGTTGGTTCAACCCGCAATTGGTTCCATTAAATTCGCTGGCGAAGGCGTCAAGGTCCCAAAACTGACTCCCAAGGTAAACCCGCACGATCCGAAAGTTTCCTGCGATTTTTTGAGGGAACGAATATCCCGGGGCGAGCTTTCTACTACTTACTGCTTTTTTTGCTTGAGAATGGCAATTTTGGGGACGAATATTTCGGAAACGAATGCACCTATGTGGAGAATGTAGGTCTTAATTTCCAAAAGTACTTTTTACTGGATTAAGGCAGTTTCAAAAAGTTTACTGCAGTCGTCAGTGAGGCCAGAATTGAGCCCTAAACTTTGGTTCTGTAAACTTCTGGCCACTTCAGCCCTTTATACCGGTTCGCTTTTCAGTGGCGAATCGTTCCTGAGTACTGTCACTCGTCCGTGCGCTCGTAGTAGACCCCAAGTTACGGGTCAGTCGACGAAAAAGAGGTGGGAATTCAACTTCACACTTACCGAGAAACATAAAATGGTATACAAAGTCAATAGAAGTCGGTGGCGGTTAGGCCCGTCGAAGCCCCATCTACAGTAAAGAAAAGGAAGAGAAGTACCCTAACCTCGACCCCAACTGTGATTTAGGTAGAACCTGCTTGGTAGGTCTAGGTTTTTTGTTCCTTCAGGTTTCAGCTCATTTCCTAAATGTTAATTAAGGAATACACATAATTATTTCCTATCATGTATTTAATTTATCTTGTCTCTGTGCTTTAAATTAAAATCCTACAGGGCACAACGTAAGATATAGGGTCCTAACGCTATCATCTAGGAAGTCTAAGCCTGAAAGAAACTAAGTGTGTTTATCTTCCGATTCGCCACAGCACTTCGAAGGCTTTGGAAGATCTTAAAAACTGTTAAATAAATATTAAGAAATACTTAAAAACGGCTCGGTTAAATTCTTAAATATTTTTGGAGGCTCTAAATATCTTTACTTTAAGACTTTTAGAAGATCTCACAAATTCATAAACGCTCTTAAAGGCTCGGAGAAATTCAAAAGCTTACGAAAAAATTCTGAAAGGCTCTTTGGTGCACTTTTGGAAAATGCGTTCTGAAAACTCTTAAAGCTCAGTAAACGATTTTAGGGTCTTTCACAGACTCTACAACCAATGAAAGGCCTTTATAAGATCCTTGGAGAACCTTAGAGATTCTAGAAAACCTTTGAAAACCCATGGACAAAAACTCTTGGGGGAAAACATTTGGAAACTCATGAATGGTTAAACACTATTACATCTCTTAAAAGCTCTTGAAGACTGTTATAATCTAAAGGCCTTTAAAAGCTTTTTAGTGCTCTCATAAACTCAATTCCATTGGGGTGGGGAAGGGGTGAGAATTTTTTTTGAAGACAATAGGTCGATAGATTTTCTCCCGAAGATTCCGGATTCTGGAAATATATATTTTGGATTGAATAATGAATATTGAAGAATCCTATTCTTTTCATAAGGGGCACTTAGGCACACCAAAGGCCAATTGCGCCTACTCAATTTATTTCCCAAGTAGGTTCAGAGCCCGCTAGGAGAGGCCAGTGGCTCTTTCATGGTGCTCGGGAACTTCCCAGTTATGGCGTCCTCGTATCCCTGTGTATACGCTCCATCCTTGTTCAGAGGGTCGAGGAGGCCGTTTTAGCACCAGGCGCTCCAGCGGAGTGGAGAAAACACTCCCCTCTGTCCGGAAGAGAATATACGGCGACGACGAAAAATTCCTGTTTCAGCGCAATTTGACCACAAAAGGAACTCTCCGAAGGTGAATATTGGCGAATAATTTTAGGATAGCGAATTTGTTGCGAATGTTTCTTCAGGGGGAATTTTCCAAGAGCTAGCTTTCGTAAGTGAATTTTCTGGGTGTCGTTATTATCAAGGTTTGCTACAAGAATTTCTTTTTCGGAGCAAGCTTCTTAGCAGCCGGGTAAATTTGGGGCGACAAAACGGCAGGGTCGGTTTGTCTATACTCAATATTATGGAAACAGTTTTTCTTGTGAGAATTGCCAAAGGACGACTTCACAAGGCCAATTTTCCGGGGCGAATTTTACAAAGTCAATATTTTTATGGCAATTTTACCTGGGAGTGCTCTAAACGCGATATTTTGCGAACTTTCCAAGGGAAACGTGGTGCATACTCCTTGCAGGGGAGTATGCGAAGAGTGAGCTTTTGTGAGGGGATGATACCAGTATTACCGAGCATTGCCACAGGAATTTTTTTAGCAATTTATTTGGGGCATTACTGCGCACGTACCGAACTCTGTCCGACATTGGGGACAAGACCGATCGGGCTCTGCAGTCGAGCATGTGCATCTCTGCTTCGGGTCTCAAACGTCTTCCCGCACTTCAACACATAACACCGATCGAGAAGTAACAGCAAGTACGTGACGGGACAAACTGGGTGTTATTGATAGGGTTGCGCGTCTCTTTCTTTAGCTCCTTTTACCTAGGACGTAAGTCCTTCGCAGCACTTAGCCCTTCCACTCGAGGAAGGTAACCGGTGGGAACTACGAGGAGGTAGCTGCTCGAAACTATGACTTGTGCAAACCTTATCGTATGCACCACTACGATAAGAGGACTTAGTAAGTTTTCTGGTTCAATCGGCTCACGTTCGTAACTCTGAAGAGAGTCATAGTTACTCCTGCCCATAGCAGCATCAATTGGAGCAAATATACGGAGGTCACGGAAAATTTCTGCTCGAGCTCAATTCGACTCTAAACATGGTTTGCTTTTATACAAGCGTGTTTCGCTAATTTTGAAGCTTGTTCTCGTACCTTGTATTTTGAAATTCAAATTTTGAAAAATCAAAACCTTTTCGAAGACGGTAATTAAGATTTTCCGTGTAATTGAATTCAGTTACACACATTTTATCCATGATTGATGTGTCTTTTATATACAAGAATGTGATGCGAGCTGTTTTGCTCATTACATTTTATACTGAAGCAAATAAAACGCGTTATCTTTAAAATAAAATGTTACAACGCACAACTTTGACTGACATTTTATCAAACAAATTTAAAAGTACGTGTTAAATATTTACAGGAATTGAATTCCAATGAAAACTTCTTTATTTTGCATTAATTGTTGATGTTTTCCAGTCACTCCAACGTTTATTTGGCACATCTTATCAATTTGAAGTGTTCATAAAAAGAAACGACCTTACTTTGGTCATTCTGTTGTTACGTTTACCTATTAGTGTAATTTATACGTGTAGATTTGCGATACTCCAACGCGCCGAAAAATATCAGCTAGCTACTGCTTTTATGTTACAAGAAACCATTAACAACGAGATCATTCGTTATGTAATGAACAAGCGTGGAAAATCCTCTTTCCGCATTGTGACGATCGCAGTATGGCGCCTCGACTGTGATCCATTAATCTCTTTGCATTAGAAAAAATGTATCGCATCCATTATTTTTTTGCTATACAGGAAGGGCGTTGCTCTCCATTTATGAACATGACAATTCCGATATTGCGTTAATCCAAATTTTTGTTAAAACAGGGAGAGCCGAACCAACAGGTGGCGCTTCACCGTCGACCTCCGTACACGCCTAGGATACTAATGTTACATTTATTTCGTCACTTCGGCATAAATCGGCAACAAGTATTCGACATGTACAAGACGATAAGAAAGAAAGTGAGGAATTTATAGTCGGGAATATATCACAATAATGCTAGCCTGCGTCTGTCAACCTACCGACGGCGGCATCTTCAGCCGATCGCCCGTGCCACTTGGCGCTCCGCCGTTGCAATCGAACGGTGCGGTTCCTAAAAGGAGCCGCGCGTTAGAAAAGCATTCGGTAATCACCACCGAACCTAACCCGAAAACGATTCATAAACATCAGGAAACCTACAAAAAAACCAAGCACGTCGCGAATAGAATAACGAAGAGGACTGGGAGGAGTGATGCTTTTGACACGGCGTCTGTTAGCGGCGAAAGCCTTTCATTGAGTGTTAATAATGAATCGAATGACAAAGCTTTAGAAGGCAAGCTTTCGCATGCAGAAGTTCTCGACGCTAATACTTTATGTGTTACAATTTTAGTTGCGAAACCGAAGGAGTTTCCCTTAGCAAATATTAATTGTCTTTCTACACGAAATAAATCTGAAACGAAACAAGAAACGATTGGCTGTGAAACACGAAACACCTCCATTGAAAAATGTAACGATCTGCGTAAGGTTTGTAGTTTTTTGTAATGCATGAGTTCATCAATCAAAACTTCTAGCGATTTACACAGTGCTCAAAGTTTTATTGGCCTACTGTAAGTAACTCCACTACAACATATTGCCTCGACCTAACTTTTCATATTTCTCCCAATTCGGGATGGAAGGTTATGAACTTTATTATTGCGTGATTTGTAACAGTTGGAGAAGTTTACAGAGCGGTCCCCCCTATTTATATCTATCAGACACGGCCAAAGTTCGGCGACAGAAGTATGCTCACATTTTGTCTCGGGTTATTGCGCCTCGTTGTTCATCATTCGCTACTCCCTTTACCAAAATTAAGCGCTTAATGTCTACCGCATCAGTTTCGAAGTGGTACTTACGTACATTAATTACGCAACTAGTTTCTCTCAAACCTGTGTGTGTTATTAGAAATTATTAATTAACTCTGTACTACGCGGCAATCTAACGCCGCAAGGTCGACTGTATAAACTCGTACGGGTTGGCGATGATTTTGAAGTAGATTGTGCGAAATAAATTTGCTTCTTGAGACGATCGCGAGCTTTTACTCCCCAACGCAGCCTACGCATCAATGTTCGTTATGGAAACTTGTTAAAATACAGTTAACAGTGAGAAATGAGCGTCTGTTCAGACTGAACATGTTTTTCAAACGTCTAGCTAACACGTATGCTTTGTACATTTGTAGATACACAACACGTTTATGGGCGTTTTACATGCCACACGCGCAGATAACGTCGAAGAATCAAATTGTATGTTTCACCAAGGTAGATAAGAGCATCTACTTACAGAATCAGAGCCAAAGTTCTACAAATAACCTTTGTGGAATAGATTACAGTGTGATAAATCAAAACTTCAATTAAATTCTCTCGATACAGATGTAGAGAAAGTACTACAATAATTATCAACCGATTCCCGATCCGGTAAATCTCTCGATCGATGTAGACGTTGCTTTGTGATTGGTCAAGGATCTTCCGTGTTTTAAATTTGTCTACCCCCGGAAGTACTTCGTCTTGTTAACATGGTTCCACGGAGGATGCCCCTGATTTATTGATGGAATTTGCTTGTTTGCTGATGTTAAATCTTCCCTTAATAAAGCGATCGGAGAGCTATTAACCCCTTTTTGGTGAAAATTGTCTCTTATGCAACCCGACGGAGCGTAGGTTAGAAGGCATCAGGTCTTTAACGAGAACTGCTGGCTCTCCTTACGACGAATGTTCTTATATAGCTTCTGTTGTATTAAGATTACACCACTCCACGCATATAAATAGGGAACCCATGCATAACCCGTTACAAGAAGATAAGTGCAGTTCTCATTTTTTCGGGCGTTTGTTTGTCTCCAGATAATCTCTGCCCAGCTTTAATCCTTACATTCAAATGTTTAGCTTCACATCCGTGCTTCAGATCCAACGTCTAAGCTTGAAACATCAAAATTGAAGCTTATGCTATAGATTCTTCACACTTTAAAACTCAAGGTTCAATCTTCCAGTTTTGACTTTCAAAAATTAAAACTTCTTTATTACCAGGCTCCCTGGCGTCCTACACATTTAGGACTAATGTTGAAATTCAAATTAATTAAACGCGCTTCATTTGAGACTAGACAACAGTCCAATCAGACGAAGTTTGTTGCAACACATTTGATTAGCTAGCGGTATTTATTCTCACACAAATGACCGGGCAGAAATTCCCAGTAATGCCTATTGTTCCGTGGAATATCGGGTCAATCGCAAAAGATATGCGATAATGGAATTTCCTGCACGGTCTTGCAGTTTTATTACTTGTTTTTGCAACATTGAAAAACTAAAATCTGTTAATAATTAATTAACGGATGCTTCCCTATGTTCTCTACTGGAACAATTAGAAACCAATTACGTCCGGCAGCTGGTTTTCCTTATCAGCGGTTAAACGGCTGCACAAATTAGAAAATTCCTTTTGCCATATATTTCTCAGTTCTAGAAGAAATAAATAAGCTATGGTTTCTTAGCCACAAAACGCCCAAATACCCGTTCATATACCGGGTGATCATGAAAGCTGGTAACTTCCCTCAATAGACGGCGAGTTCGTTCATTCTAATATAATTCCTGTACGAAAACGGGTGATTCATTACAATACATTTCTGTGGCATTCTTTTACATCGTTGACTCGTTATGCTAGCTTATATTTGTTCCGCCTCCCAGTATACACACTCGCAAGCCTGTTGAGGGCCCAGAACAAGAGAGGGATAATAAATAAATGTCGCAATTTGCACGTTATCTAACCTTCCGTACGAACACAAGTGATTCATCACCATTAGTTTATGAACTACACAGGTACCAGTGCTCTTCCTCAACTCCGTTCGATCTGGCACCTTCCTCTTCATTGCTACGTACCCCTCTCTCTCTTTTCCTTTACATCATATATCTTTTTCATCCCTCTCATTCCTCTATTCTCTTTCTCGTCCACAGTCTCTTCCAGCACGTCTCTTAACAAACTTTTTTTTTGTCAACTCGGAGTCTAACCCATTTGACGTTCTTTTGTTGTGGTTTCTGTGATTGGTCTCCTTTCTCCAACTGGTAGCCAATACGGGTCCGTAGAAGAACGCTTGTAATAAGACGAGTAGTGTACATGTATCTACCAGGGCCGTGTAATAAACAATCTTATGGACGGGGAAGTACATGATGTGGGGTCGGCGACATCTGGGCGCCATCCCCGAGTGTTATACTAAGGTGGTGATCTTCTTGGGCGAGTGTCTTCGAGGGGTAGTCGACTTCGGGCGGCCGAAAGTTTCTTAGATCTAGAATCGCGGTCTCTCTTTCACGTGTCGCCAATAGAAGCTCGATATATGAGCAATGTACTATTTTGTAGAGGGTTTTTAGCGGGTGAACGGGACGTCGGAAGTGGGTACTGCCAAAAGGAATGTGAGAACCCTCGACAAGAATTTACTGATGGTAGAATAAAGACTGCAAACGCGAATTGCAGGTGAATGGGGCGCCGGCCGGGCGTCGACAAGATCTTATTGATAGTAAAGTCAGCAGTGGCTAATAAAATACTGATCTGCCACACAATAATGGGCTGAAGTCCCTTCGATCTCACACGGGAACTTTGATACTCTTTTCATTGTTGTCCATGTACCACAATCATATAGGTAGCATTCCACACTGCGCACTTTGCGAGCATCCTGCATCAACTTTCTTATTTATTAATAGCTAGCTCAATTTAAATAAACTCTCTCACAAGAACAATTAACATGACAGTGCCAGCGACAAATACCACGCTACAACCGCTCGATCGAAACAGATTAAATGTCTCAATTATATCATGGTAATGTCATAATGTCCAGTTTCACACGGCGATTTCCAAACAGACGCGTACAAAAAAAACCGCAAACACTAAACTGAATTCGCTTCAGAGACTCCACTTCTCCGAATATGTGACACAAAACTTCTTCTTAACTCGAACTCGACTATTCAATCACGACGTACTTAAAATCTCTTAATTTAACAACTAAAATGTCTTCAATAAACTTATAATTACACAAATTGACTTGGCTTTGGTACATCCGAAAACCGAGAAGCCGGGAGCACGGCTCCAACAAATGGCCCGACTCTATCCAACGGCCAAACGATGCCTTTTCCTGTTTATTTAGTTAAAATAAATAAAATTATTTTATCTAAACGCGCACTTACAGCAACATCTGTTTACAAAATTAATTAACTTTTGCGATAAGCGCTACTCTTATCACGACCGGAGAAAAACATGAGATTAACTTTTCAAATATTGCGCAAATAAATTCGAGATGTTCCTTATCTTATAACAGGTAATTTTTTACAATGAAATAAATAAAATAAACAAACTACAATGCGGCTATAAACAAAAATCAACCATAATCTAAACTGGGTAAATTAACAAGATTTTGTTGAAATTTGAACCACATATGCTTCTAGTAAAGGCAAATATATCGCACATAGCTATGACCTTTCGGGAAGTACTGATCAATGTATGGAAAATGCTCTAGTGAAAATGTTTTTAAAAACGGTAAAACTATCCCGAGTGCAATTAGGATTATCATCAAAAAATGAGTTGCAGCGTGAAGTTGACACCTCATTTCTCGGGTTGCGATCATTTCAAATAATAAATTGAACTTTTGCTAAACTTCGCCCGAAACTATCATAACTATAATTTACAGCACACAATTTGCCCTAGCCTCCCCATTGTACTATACGAAAAGTTATACAAGAACGGAATTATTGCATTTGCGGAAAGAAATACGTGACAGCTTTTTATTCAATTACATAACGATTTTATACGAAAGCATAAAACAGACACCGAAAATAGCAAAGCTTAAATATATAGTCTTGCGAGTTCAGGGTTTAAACTTTATCACAAATATTTGAGGTAACGTTATATCCCAAAGGAATTTACGGACGCGATCCCGCTTAAAAGCGCTGCTGCACCTTGAAGTTTTACAATAATTTTGCAAATTTAAACAATGTGACGCGACAATATAGGAATCTTCCCGAACAAACACGCATTCTTCTTTTACATGGATTTCAGGAGGCTGGCGACCGTGTTAAAGTTGGCACGGAAATAACGCGCTCCAAACCCATCAGCCTTGTCTAATCAGTCAGTTTTTTTTCATTGATTAATTCATTCGCTTCGAAAGCAGTTACAATTTTGTTTTCTGTCTTCCTCTATTCTATTCTATCTACAGGGCAGATTAACAGTCAAAGAAAAATCACCAAAACCGATTTTCATAATAAGCAGATGGGAATGAGATCGGGATATGAATTTTTCTTGTTAACGGTCAACAAACAAGCTTATATCCGCCCGTTTTTCCTCATCTAGTGAAATTCTCCAAATTTCTCCGCCGGCATTCCCTTCGCTTTGATATAATTCTGCAGCATTTTTGTTGCTCATAACTTCGCGAGAAGGCACGATAAAATGTTACTTCAGGTATAATTTCATCATTCGTCGAAAGGTTTAGCTATTTTTGCAGTTCGCACCTTACTAATTCAAGA